TATTATATTATATTATATAGTATAATATTATATGGGTGCAGGTCCTTGTCATTGTCCTACAGTAGGTGCTCAAATCCACCAGATCCTGGAAGGAGGCCACGGTCAGGTGCAAACCCCACGGTCGCCCGCCTTGTTGTGGAAGCCGAAATAGAAAGTACAGCCCAACTGCCTGAGGTCCAGTGTGAGCCCCTAGGGCCCGAGAGGGCATCAGGGCGTCAGGGCGGAAGCGGAGGAAACGGATGGAGGAATAGCAGGATTTCGACTGCACAGATGTGCTGCCCGTTCCGCGCTCCACCTCTTTTCCGGCTAGCTTCGAAGGGTCTACAGGAGCCTCTGACGCAAAAAAACACGGAAGGGAAGTCAGGTGCCTACAAAAAGCCTCCGAAACCCCGAGATCTCACCGAGCTGCATGGTTGTAAGCTCGACGGTGCCCAGTTTGCCTGAGGCTTAAAGGGGAGATTTCTGACTTATGGCAGAGGATCGTGGCTAAGAGGGCCCTTTCTGAGCGTCTGGTTTCGTCTTTCCTGGACTGAAGGATCATATCATGGGTTCTATTTCAGAGATTCTGCATATGTCATGGGGAGTCTTCACGGAACCTGTCCTTGCACCCGTCTTCCCTGTTCAAAAGGCGGTTGTATTACACATGATCGCACCAGACACCCAAAAACCCAAAAGCATGGACTCACTGATTCCGTCTCGGAATCCTAGACTCCCAGATCCATTGCAAGCCGGCTTGCAAGTCACCACAATCTTGGGCTTTGCGTGCCAGTGTAGGTGCAGCTTCAAGTCCATGAAGGAGCCCATCTCTGTGTCCTGCAGATGTCGCTTGAGAAGAACCGGCCCTGAAACCCCCCTGATGGCCGTGGACTGAAGCCACAGATCCACAGATGCAATGGCATCCGAAAAGAGCCACGCCGGGTCCTCGAGAACTTCCACCTCTTGTGCGCTGGAGACTCGTGGTTGAAGGTTTGGCCGTCGTAGACACCCTATAGGTAGCTACAGTAGTATCTCTGCTTAGAAGTACGTGTACACCTTCAACAGTGGCCTAGGAAAGTAGTCTGTGGAGTTTACAGAAATTCGGTATACATTTGCTGTGGGCTCGATGTTCATGCCGCTGTTGGAGCTTGAAGCTATGGCTCCGGCGCCTCACGCCTAACTGGGACTCCAAGATACTCCAAGGTCATGCGAGCGAGCCCGGCTTTTCGGAGAAATATCCCCTCGGTAAACACACCAACAAGCGCTGTGTCGAGGTTTCACCTTGCAGCCGCATCTTGCCGTCCGATCCCCCTTTGTAGAGTGAGCAGGACCATTCCATTTGAGGCTTAGGATCGCCCTCAACATGTGCCTGAAGCTTCGTGTGTACTCTGCTTGTTTTAAGCATACAGGGTCTTAAGTAAGCGATAGCTGTAAGTATTTACAACCGTGGTTAAGATGCCTCAATTCTGTCGAGCGGGAGTGAAGAAGGACTTTCCCGTAGAGTTGGTTAGGCCCATACAGTAGAAACCGACGGCACCTCGCCGAACTCAGGGGGCACCGTTCCCAGGTCTACCTCCACAGTAATCGGCGCGAGGAAGGACAACCTCGGACTGTACGGCTTTCTAGGGCTTCAGGGTTTTTGGGGTGGTGCTTTAGGGTTTTAGGGTTCAGGGGATTGCAGAGGGCTGAGTGTTTAGGGATTGCAATCTTGAAGAGACGAGACGAGACGGGCAGATGACGAAAGACAAACATGAGCTGGCGCTGGGGTAACCGTAGGCCAGAACTGGCAAGTGCAGTTCCGAAACGCACCCCGTCTGCTAGATCGACATTCGGTGCTCGAACCAAAAGCCTCCGTGTGCATAAGGGAACTGAAATCCTAAACCCTAAACCCTAAACCCTTAAACCCTAAACGGCCAAGGCTGGCCAGCTCAGTCAGGATCCCCCGACTTGTGCTGCCCGGTCTCTTGTTGTGAAGCTTTGGAGCGATAATGTCCTGTGCGCAGGCTCTCTCTCTTTTGTCTGAGCTGCCCTCTCCTCAAAAGGCGTAGACTCCCTATACAAAGCCTCCCCTCCCAAGTCGGAGTGCAGGATTCAGTGCACCAACGGGCTCCTTCATGGCAGCGGAGAACTCTGGGCCAATAACCTCAGCGCCGGCTTGGGGCCGAAGGGGCGTGCCCTTTTGGGGGAATCAGATAATCACAGCTCAAAGTGGTTCAGCGAGCTCGGGCCTTGCGGTTCAGAGCCCAAGCCATCCAAGAAAAGCGGCTGGCCAGACCAGATTCATCAAGAAGTTCGTCCAGCTGGACTCGATGGGCAGCTGCAGAGGCTTCGCTTCCAGCTTCTGGCCAGGAAGAGCACGGGTTCTCCGGGCTTTCTACAAGGTGCGGAGTTCAGGGTTTAGGGTTTAGGGTATACTTTAAGGTCAAGGGCAAGCCTGGACCATGTCCTGGAGGATGTTCTCCCGATTCGGAGCACCGGCGGCCTCACGCCGGCGGAGAGTGTTGGCTTGGTTGTGGCTAGGGTTTTAGGGTTTAGGGAGTTTAGGGTTTAGGACTCAGGGCTTCGGGTGTAGGCTTCAGGACTCTTGACTTGGGAGTTAGGATCTGGGATTAGGATTTCGGGTTTTGAGGGCTTGGGCTCTAGAAGTCGAGAGGGCTAGGGCTTTGCTTTGGGAGAAAGTGCGAAGCTTTCCGGGGGACCTCAGAGTAGAGGGCGCCGTGCGCCGAGGAGGGGGAGGGGCCCTGAAGGGCCCTGGGAGGAAGATTCAGGTAAGATGAACTGATAACAAAGGTAAGAAGAAGATTCAGTTTAAGAGGAAGCCATATAGGCCAACTCCCCCACAAAACCTGAGCTCAAGGGCTCCGCCTGGAAGTTCCCGACGATCTCCTGGCATCTGCGGCGTGCTTTAGCGTGAGACTACGGTTGATGATATAAATCCTGCATTATCCATAGTAAGGAATATACCATGATTCCCATAGTTTAGGGTCCTTAAGGTCATGCAGGATTTATATCATCAACCGTAGCACTGCGACATGTATGGCTACATGATGCTGCATGTCTCTTGACCTCCCCCGACGACACGAATATAGGTGGCGATGCTCTCTCACCTCCCGTGAAAACTCTTACTTTGAGCTCTTCAGGCCATCTGCTCGCACACAGAAAATCGGAGCTCTCCTGACCCATATACCGAGAGATCTCCGGCCAAATGCGATCCTTGAGTTCCTGGGTTTCGGGCTTTTGGGGCTTAGGGTTTTTGGGGATTGATTATGGGTTTCGGGCTTAAGTAGGCGGGGCTATGACCTCAGTGGTTGCCCGAGGGTGCTACCCTGCCACCTTACCTCTAAGCACTGAGACATTCTGGCTGCTCTTCCCATCAACTCAACCGTTCGGAAATTGACGATTGCGGAGCATCTTGCGAAACCAAAACGCCCACCATCCTCGATCCTACCACACAAACGCATAAGTGCTGCAATAATCATGGCTGCCTTTTACAGAGAAACAGAGACAGCAGAGTCGAGCCGCCACGAGCCAGAAGAGCCCTAAACCCAAACCTACTGTAAACCCTAAACCCTAAACCCTTTAAACCCTAAACCCTTTAAACCCTAAACCGAGTCGAGCTGCCACAAGCCAGAAGGGCTTCTGCTTCTCCGCGGTCACAAGCCGTGGCTGGCTCGGAGAGCCGTGCCCAAAGCTGGGACCACGGGAGGAGATCCACCTTTGAGGGATTTAGGGTTCACGGTTTAGGGGTTTAGGGCTTAGGGTTTAGGGTCTGGGGTTTAGGGTTTAGGGTCTATTGAGACTTGAAGACCAAGGGAAGGAGACTTCGGAAGCTTTTCTTGGGTTTTTTTTACCATCTTGGCCCCTGGTGCCAGGCTCAATTTGGGGGCCCCTGGTCGCTCCTCTGGGACTCAAAGATGGAGCTCGTCTCGACAGTCTTCCGCGCAGGGGGTTTTTTTGAGACCAAAGAGCTCTTCCCTCTGCAGAGCCCAAATGGGACAGAATCTGCTACACGATATTTCGGCCGGGTGCCCTCAGCGTCCTACCAGGTGAGAGCCCTGACGATTCCAGCTGAAAGACCCTCTTCCTAACCCTGTCCACAGCATTCCTGCGCACGCATGTGGTAAGGACAAAGATGCAGCTCCAGCCACGTTGTCTGCGATGCCTTCAGCAAGCCAAGTATGTCAAGGTGCATCTTGCACTCGCACCACAGTCACGTTTTAGCTACTGAAGCTCATAGAAGTTCTTGCCCTTCCCTCGGAGATGGTCCACCCGTCTACCCCTGAACACAGAAGCTACAGGGAGGGATCACTTCTCAACTGGTACCTGCCGTCTTGCATCGAGCCACTCACCCCGCAAGCCCGGGAGGCTTCGGATATATTGAAGTGTTTGCCATCTGCACCCGAATCCCTCGAGCAAAGGCCTAGAGCGACCCTGCCAACCCAACTTCCGTGCCACCGAGTCTGCTGGGCTTTGGGGCGCACCGGCCACGAACGAGGAGACGGAGGGTACGTACCTAGGTCCACGGAAGGTGCCACGTGTTGGGTTGATGATCTAGGTACAGTTCTTGGTGAGTTTGGGGTCGTCGGGTTTAACCCACCGAACTGGCCGAGCCGCGATGGTGCGGGAGTCGAGCGCTGCGAGGGCGGCACAGAATGGACAGGAAACGGCTGGAGGCTGCTGACAGTCGGACCTTGGAAGACGTCGGTATGCTAGCTGCTAGAGCAGACTCGGGAGTAGACCACAGGGGAAAATGTTGTAAACGACCGGGTATGCTGACTTTTCGGATTCAAGGTTCTGCAGCTGGGAGTCTCTGGATCTCAGGGTCTTCAGCTTGCTGGATCCCTGGCTTGAGATTTCAGGCTCTCGACTTCCAGGCTGTCGCTTTAGAAGGCCTTGTTTCTTGGGTGAACCGGAATGCGGGAGGTGGGAGAAGCTCACATGAATACAACAGATCTCATCCCTGTACCTCCACCTTCCCAGGGTGCAATATCAAAGTCACTGCCCTCCAACAACTTCGGGATTGCCGGCCACACCCAGTGCAAGCCAGACGCTTGGAGCCGTCTGCGCCCTGAAGACGTGAATGAGTGTTGGAGGGGATTGACAACAATTCATGCTGCTGTAGAATTGCCATCCATCACGACGTGTCACTCGGCCGAGCTACTGATGGGGATGTCTTTCCAGCTTTCTTACACTAAGCGAAAGCCTTTGAGCAGCCGGCTTTAGCCAGGCCGTTTAGGCTCAAATTTTTGGATGCCAAGAGGACTCGCTGCAGTGGATCTAATCTAGGCATCAAAGAAACGCTTGTGATGTGGAACAATGTAGTGTCTGGCAGGCTACCAGGAAGGATAGATCATTGCTATACTATGCATATCATATTGAAAACAAGTATAGTACAGTTTAACTTATCGGATAGGCGGCATGCTACTACAACACATCGTTGCATGTCTGTACACCGTTTTTTGATTATGAGTCACACAGCTCGCAGCGGTGCTTAGCCTGGCAAACCCGCAAGCAAGACTATGCCTCCGCGAGGATGCTCTCCGTAAACCGTAATCCCCTAAACCCCTCAACCCTAAACCCTAAATTACTAAACCCTAAACAGCCTAAACACCTAAACTCCCTAAACCGCTAAAACCCTAAACCCTGGTTGCGCACTGGCCTTTAAAACCCTAAAACCCTAAACCCCTGAACCCCTAAACCCTACCTATCAAAGACAGAAGGAAAGCGGATGTACTGTTGATGATATAAATCCTGCATTACCTGAAGGACCCTAAACTACGGAAATGATGGTATATTCCTAACTATGGGCAATGCAGGATTTACATCATCAATCCCTAAACCCTAAACCCTAAACCCTAAAAACCCTAAGAACCCTAAACCCTAAACCCTAAAAAACCTGGGATTTACTTCATCAACCGTATCTACCTTTTTACCAGGGCCCGGGCAGCACACGCACGGGGCCAGGCCGCAGAGGCGGCCATGACCCGGTTTGCGGCGGCAGAGAGGAAGCCCCAGGGCCAGGGCCATACCTGCATAAATATAAATATAAATATAGATATAAATATGAATATGATAAATAAATATATATATATATTTTTTTTTTATGGATAGGTAGATAGATAGATAGATATTTAGTATATATATATATATATACGTATCTATCTATCTATCTATCTATCTATCCATATGTATGTATATATATATATACATATACATACATATATATATATATATATATTACAGACATATGTTTTAATATACATACATACATACATACATACATTACATACATACATACCTACATACATACATATACATACAATATATATATATATATATATATTATATAGAGAGAGAGAGAGAGAGAGTGCATATATATATATAATAAACAAACATACGCGTGTATATATATATATATACACACACCGTGGAAACCATCACGGCATGAGCTTTTGACGAATCCGACTTTGACAGGAGCTCAGCCAGAGCGAGTGGGGGAGTTGGGTTTGCCCAAACTGCGGAAATCGAGGTCTTTTCTTTCAGAGCTCCATGGAAAACCCTGAGATCCTTCCACGAGGAAAGCTGGCTGCCTCACCACCGGAGGCGGTGCACTGTAGCGCACGGGCGTAGGGGTCGCCCCCTGCCCGCACATGATGGCTTCTCTCTTCAAACCGTTTTCCCCGACAGTCCGTTGATATCACCGACACCATGCTCACTATGGCCTTCGCAGAGACGGCGGCCATGGCAGCACGGGGATCGCAGAATAGCTTGGGCAGAGGGCTCAGGTCTCTGTCTGTACCAAGGGAGGTCTTGCGTCGTGTTGAGGAGGTCGACAAATGTGTCTCGGCCTGTAGATTTATGAAGCAAGCTGAGGTTTCAGACTGGAGGCTTATGCACAATGTTCCGAGCGATTTCCGTACACAACGGTCCATCACGGCTCATCGCTGAGTCACTCGACAGCTGCAGGGTCCGGCGAGTTAAAAGCCCTGCTTCGGCAGATGACCTATCACAACTTCAGCTCTATCGTGCGCCCTGAGTGACTGCTAATTCCCAGATGTCACCGAATGAAATCCTGTCAGGACAGTAATATCGCAACAGAAAAGATGCCGAAACACTAATACAACATGCGCCATATGCATGCATACTACCTGTAGAGCAGAACTGGGCCCATACAGTATGAAACAGTCGATACTGCCACGGATGGATACCGACATTCTGCCGTGCTACGTTCATGCATGACGGCTGTTTACAGTATGCTCCAACATAAGACGATGAGGGATGGTGAGCTGCAGTACACATGCTACTGCTCGACGTTCCTACACGCCTGGACCCTTCGTCTCGTGGTGGGACTCTAAGAGGCCTTCAACTGCCTCTGATCATGTTAGGGTTTAGGGTTTAGGGTTTAGGTTTTAGGGTTTAGGTTTTAGGGTTTAGGGTTTAGTGAACCCGTGATCCGAAGCCTCGTGGGGCGGCTGCGTCTTGGCGTTGCTAGGACGACTACTAGGATTAATAGCAGAATTGGTATTATGCAGTAATATAAGTATCAGAAGTAGTATTGTTAGTATCATTAGTATTGTGGCTACGTATTATTCGTACCATACTTAATAATATAAGATGATAAGGTTGATTAGTCTTTTCGATACGGTCTTATTCGTATAGCTTAGTACTATTTGTATTGCGTGAGCAGCCAGTCTGACAACAAAAAAGCGCGTGCCTCGACGAAGCTGAGGGGACCCCGAGCCAGGTAGAGGCCGGATCCCTCGTCATCCCAGCCTCCCGTTCTAGGATGCCTCAAAGGAACCCTTCAAGAAACCCTGAAGGGAGACCCTCACAGGGGCCCCTGAGGTAGCCCTTAGAGGCTCATGAAGACGGTGGAAGGGGACCATCATCGACCGTGGGTGGGGGATGCAGGGTTCATCTTCTGCCCTGCGCCGGAGCGGGCTGTGATGACAACGTGACGGCTCCTGTTCTGGAAGTCTTTAACTATTTACAACCTTACTGCCGGAACTCCCGGTCATCTATTGGATCAGGA